AAAAATGAAAAGCTCTGCCCAACAGGGCCCCCGTCAGGTCCTCCAACAACAGAACACTACCCTAAGGCCAGGAGAGAGGGAAGAGCCTAAAGATGAGCACACAGCCAGTCTGGTGTGGAAACCAGAGCCACCAGGAGACAAGAGCTTACTTAGGTGCCTCAGGCCGGGGCAGTGCGGGCCTGCTCCTGCAGCAGGCCAGCGGACTGCACGTGGCAGCGTCATGCTTCAGAAGGCACGGGTGATTGTGATGACGACACCACGTGAAAGGCATCTGAAAACAGGAGCATCTGCCATGGGCAGAAGGGTTCTTTCGGAACAAAATGTGTTTTACAAGCACCAAGAAGGAGTGCAGGTTGAGAAGGATGCAACGGAGGGAATAAAGAACAGAAATATGGAGCTAAGTTTTGGGAAACATCCACAACAGGAGGCAGATGTCAGGAGGAGACAGACCAGCAGAATGGGACAAGCTGCGGGAGAAAGAGCCCCTCATGGAATCGCTGACCCCCACCCCAGGGGCACCAATGCCCGTCGAACATACAGAGCAATCACAGCCCCAGCCTCCTGGAACCACTTGACAACTGTGCCCAGGTGCCTGAGTCAGCACCTCCACTGACTTCCAGCTGCCTCTTCGGTCTGGCCTGAGATCCCTCTCATTTTCACAGTGACTAAGAAAGTCCAGAGTTGCCCAGACCCAGAAGGCCAAAGTTCAGGCCCTGCGCCCACTACCTCCTGGTACCACCGAAAGCTAACTAACCACTCTGTGCCTCGGCTTTCTACTCTGTAAAAGGCAGAAGGAACAGCGACCTACTTTGTTAGAATTAAATGACAGTGTGTAATAGACAATGTTCAGTACCCAACAAGAACTCAACGAGCATTAGTGATGACATTTTTATTACCTGCCATTGGCTACCACAAACTGCCACTTATCTTTCTTTTCTTCCTTCTTTTAATTTTGTTACAGAGCATGTGCACTTGCCGGTAAGAAACAGAGGGAGAGAGAAAACTAGAAATCATCCCCCCAGGGGGAATGGCCACACCACAATTCCTTCTCCATTCTCTTCTCAGAATCTCGGGCATGTACGCACATGTACGCAGTGTGTTTCTCAAGCCACTGGGTCCAGGACTCAAACTGCAAAGTTGGCCATGTGAGATCTAGCTGCCTTAACCACCACGCCATCGGTGCCACCACTTACCTTTCATCTCAAAAAAAAAAAAAAAAAAAATCAAGTTCTCTTCAGGTCAGCCTAAATCTGAGGCCTCCTTATCCTAACAGTGCTCTCTGCCCCCAGCAGGTATTCAATGTGTAAGAGTAATCTCCACCACCCACCTCCGATATACTGCCAATGGCCTGCAGCTGAGACAGAAATACTGCTCTAGGCAAGCCAAATGTCATACATTCCTTAAAACTGATAGATAGGTGATAAAGCAAATATAGTGAAGTGGCACTAGTAGAAGCTAGGTGATGAGTACGGGCATGTACATTATATAATTCCCTCCCTTCCCTTTCCTTCCCTTCCCTTCCCTCCTTCCTTCCTCCCTTTTTTCTTTCCCTCTCTCCCTCCGTCCGTTTCTTCTTCCTTTTTCCTTTCATTTGCCAGAAGGCACATGCACTCACCAGAGAAAGACAGAGAGAAAGCAAAACACCCTCCATGGGGCATGGTCACCTTGTAATCCCTTCTCCTCCATTTCTCCCTCCCACTGAGATTTTGGGCATGCATGCATATGTGCCTGGTGTGTTTGTCAAGCCACAAGGTCCAGGACTCAAAACGGTGCAACTGACCATGTGGGATCCAGCAACCTTAACTACCACATCATGGGCTTGTCCAATCATATCATTCTTTCAACTTGGCTGTATAGTGAGGGCTGGGGCCAAGAGGTGGCAAGGTGGTTAAGGTGCTAGATTCCCATCTGGCAGATGACAGTTCAAGTCCCAGACCTTGAACTGTCTCACCTTTCTTATTCACTTTCTCTCTCACTCTGTCTCTCTCTGGTTTGGTATGTGTCCTACAGCAAATAATAATAATAAATAATAATAATATAGTTAAATAAGTAATTCTTAAAAAGAAAAAAAAAGTTAGGGCTGGCCCCATGGCCTGGGGGTTAAGGCAGCTGGATCCCACATGGCCAACCATGTAGTTAGAGTGCTAGACCCAGCAGCTTGAGAAACACAGCAGGCACTCATACGTGCGTGTCCAAAATCCCAAAAGGAAAAAGAAATGGAAGAGAAGGGATTGTGGCATCACCCAGGGGTGTTTTCTTCTCTCCCTCTGTCTCTCTCTCTCTCTCTGGTAGTGCATGCACCTTCTGGCAAAATTACAGGGAAGAAAAAGATCATCATAAAATATCGTTCATCATAAAATAAAATGTTGGTGAAAAAGTCGTAAAGTTTTTTTCGTTTAATGTTTCTATGGTGTCATTTTACTATAAATTAGTCTTCAAAGATAGCTCACAATTTACTGTTTAAGCAACGAGTTAAGTCATGCTCCTCTGCAGGTGAGCTCAATGAATACTTTGACTTGTATTTGATACTTTCCTTTAGAAAAATGACTAAGCAGTAATTTTCTTATAGATATAATTGAACCCTCTGGCAGCTAGTGGAAGAAGACTCTGCTGGAGAGAAGGGATGGAGTGGGGGTTGAGTACAAATTCATGCACCAGTCACTCTCCAGCTAAAGGTGACCTGGGGTTTAAACATCCTTGCGCAGCCACGTGTCCTTTCCGCCTGGATGCTGCTCCCAACTCCTTACGTGCCGCTTCCTGGCTGGGAGTAGATCAGGCAACCTGTCCAGGGTCTCAGGGTCAGAGGACTCTTTGAACAGGAAGCATTCAGTTTTATAATGTGAGGATCTTGGAATTTCTTTGTTTTGTAGGAGTGAAAGGATGGAGGGACCATCTTCCACCTAAGCAACCTCTGATTTATCAAGAACTACAAAATGAGCTTGAGTTGAACCTTCTGTCATTCCACTAAGAAGTCTCACCAGCCTAAAAGCCATCACCTTTCTGCATCAGTTTATTCACAGATTTAGAAACCAAAGGCTGGCCAAGGGAGGGAAATGGCAGACGTAGAGGAAGGGACACATATCAGGGAAGCTCCCCAACTACTTCCTCTTGCGTCTGCCTTAAGAGTCTTTCCTGAAAAGTTTCCTGGTTGTTTCTTTTTCTATTACACCTGTCACTCCCACCCTGTGTGCAAACAGGGAGAACACTGCCAAAGTAACTTGTCAGTTACTAAGTGCAGGGACGGCTCAAAAGTAACATCAGGGTCCAAAGACGTGGAAGGAAGCAACAGAACTTGAGTGGTAGCTGAGTCCTTCCTGAAGACTAGGGTCTGCCCATCTCCACTCCGCAGGAGGTGCCCTGAGTCAGCCTGGCTTTCATCCCAGTTCCGTGCACGTGGAGCGACAAGTGGGCGCCGCGCACGGCCACCAGTAGCATATGTCCTCACAACAGAGCCCTGACCATCTGCCCACGCTAATCCGAGGACAAGCAGATTTGCTACCACCGCTGCCCAGGAAGAGGGCTAGGCAGGCACCTTTGCAGCTCAGTTCTCTAAAACCGCCAGGCTACAACCCCCCGCTTCTCGGATCACTTCAGTCCAAAGGCTGGCGTAAGATGGTCACCTGAATCCCACCACCCGTCGAGGGACACAAATGAGGGTCGGGGGCGGTGCCCTCCAAGTGCGCAGGAAAAGATCACAAACACAGTGCCTCCCTCCCTTCCTCCCTCCCTCTGTCCGAGTAGGCAATGCAAACGCGGCCGGGCAAAGTTCACGCGGGAGGAAGGGCAGCTGCGTGCCCACCCAGCCTCCTCCCCAACCTGGGACGCTGGGTCCCACAGCCCCGCGGTTTGCTCAGAGGGGAAACTGCGCTCACTCACCTGGGCCAGAGCCCGGTGGGGCGGGGTCGGGGTGCCTGCTCCCAGTCGGCCGCGGATTCAGCCGACCGGCCCTCCCACGGCCGCCGCGAGAGGGCGGGCCAGCAGCGGCAGTCAGGCCCGCGTCCATTGGCCAGCTTCACCTTGATGCGTCAACCTGGGGAGCCTGATTGGCTGTGGCGCTCTGTGACAGCCCCGGCTTCGGGGTCGCAGCTGGGATGAGCGTCCGCTCACTTCCGGCGTCACCGCGGGATCCCAGCGGCCCGAGGCCGGCACCACGGGCTCCCAGCGGCCCGAGGCTGGTCCAGCGAGCTTCTTGTGAGTGAAACACCGCCGGCTGCCCCCGACCCAGCCCGGGCGGGCCAGGATCGGAGCAGGTGGTGTGGACGTGGGCCTGCAGGCGAGGAGAGGGGCACGCGGTGTTGTGGGGGCGGAATTGCCAGGATGAGCCCCAGCGTGCAGTCGCTCAGCCTGGGACTTGGAGAGAACTTAAACTAGCGTCTTCGTGGATTCCATCAAACGGAAATGTAGCCCTTGACTACACAAACGTAAAGCTTTCCTCTTCTTGGGAGGAATCCTAGAAACACGTGATTCTGTGACTATAGCGTGGTGTGGTATCAATCCAACGGGTCCCTACATTGCTCAGACTCTTTGTACTGCCAGTAACAGAAAACCTAGTTATAGCTCACATCATATAATAATTCTGGTAATTTATGAGCAGTCGCTGGATGCCTGGCACTGATGTAAGTGCTTTATATGTACATCCTCACTTCCTCCTTGCAGAGACTGAACAAGGCAGGTGACAGTGTCATTCCCATTTTACAGCCGAGTTCACAGGCTCGAAGTCGAGAGAATCACACTTGAAGTCATAGAATTGGGATTTGAACTTTCTATACTGTTTCCACCCCACACGTTTTATTGAATTACTAAAGACCTTAATTAATCTAAATATTTTCATAGCAAACACAGCTGATAAACACATTTCCATGAACACAAGTCTAACTTTAGGCATCCTATAAAGTAGCACCTAGCTGGGGCTGTATATCTTACTGCGGTCATTGAATAGATTTTATTTCTGAAACTTTTTTTGTAACTTAATCTACATTTTTTCCCTAAGCATCATCACAGCATACAAAATGTGATTTCCCATCCAGAATATACTGCATAGTGACTTAATCATGCACATTATTATAAAAATGTTTCCATTTCTAGTTCCTAGAATTTGTTTACCCTTCTTTCTGTCCTTCTGTCCTTTCCCACCCTCTTCTCACACTATCTCTGGTGTCTACAATTGTCTTCCATTCCTTTCCCCCCACATTGTATTGATCACACAATTTCTTAAATAATCTAACTACTTTCAATGGTAAGTTCACATGGTACTATTAAGAAAACCAGATCTCCAAGAACACCCTTGAGAACTTCTTGGAGATCTGGTCTGGTGCTGATAAATTCTTTCAGGTTTTTTTTTTTTTTTTTTTTTATCTGGGAAGTTTTGGGTTTTTTTTTCCCAAATGAA